GAGTTGCAACCAGAGTCACGGAACGGATTAAGTTCGTAACTAGAGGTACCACTGTACTTCTGTTTTGTTATAGTTGATGACAAGTTCCGCCTATCTGCAAGAGCGCAAAATACTTTGTCTCAAACCTCCTTAATCAGCATATAAAAGCACTAGTACAGATCTGTTGAAATTTCCAGAGAAATGCAGGGCTTGATAACTTTTGTACAAGTGATTTGATATAAAAATTAAAAATGAATTGAACAAATATGCAACCTATCATCACCATCATCATCATCATCATCATCATCATCATCATCTGCTTTTTTTAATTGTTTGGTCAACTCAAGGTGGCAAACATACATAATCCTCCTGCCTCCTATTTTTCCCACAACAACAACCCTATGAGGTGGATTTGGCTGAGAGAGAGTGACTGGCCCAAAGTCACCCAGCCAGCTTTCATGACTCAGGGAGGCCTAAATCTCACAATCTTTCAGGATGCAAATTATGGGTGAAAGATATACAATTATAGGAACTGCATAGTGTTATTTTCATGGAGTTTCATGGACAACAGCAGGAAACATGGATAAATGGATGTAGCAGCCAATTTCTTCTGGATCCTATCTCTGATGATTGAGTCAAATGTCACCTTTAGATCAAGGTGACATAAGGGTACCATATGGATGGCTAGAGTATTTTCCATTAAATGATGTAAAATAAGACACCAATCAAGGCTTGATCATCCCTTTCTAAAAAAGGATTCTTCTTCCACAGCATGCTATCCTATACCAGCCAATCAATCAAGATGTCTGGGCTGGCATAGAGTTTGCTGATTACACTTAACAAGCTGATTGAGGAAAAAAAATTGCCAGGTCCTTCCTATCTTCCATTTTGTATACTGTACTGGGATTATAAGAAATCTGTTCTAGTCTTCTGGTGTCTGAAGGAAAGAATCTATATGAGTGAACAATACCAAAACTGGCCCCCATCAATCCACATTCAATAGAAGCAATTCTGCCAAAGCTACCATTTTTAAGTTGTGTGATTAATTTGGCAATCTCAGGTGGGGAGACTGATAACTAATTTGGTATGGCATCAAGGATGAAGTTCAATAGAGATGGAGCCTTGGGCTTATTGCTAGATGAATGAATGTCTGTGTTTGTAGATGTGCTGCTCTGAATTCACCAGCCGATACTTCATGTAAGACAGTGTTGTCCAAACTTGGCCACTTTAAGATGAGTGGACTTCAACTCCCAGAATTCTGGAAGTTGAAGTCCACTCATGTTAAAGTGGCCAGGTTTGGACACACTGATGTAAGCCTTCAGGACAAAAATGTTACTCATGGCTGTTTCAGTTAAACCTCAGGTGCTTTCTTTTGAAATTCAGTGTGACCATGCTGAACTTCCTGGAGGATTTTCCCATTATGTATATCCCATTAAATCATCATCACCATCATCATCATTGCAGGTTTATAGCCAGAGAACACAATATACATCAGATATATATATAAAATATACACATAAATGCACACACCTAAAATCTATAGTTATAAATAAAAAATAAGCATGAAATAATACAATAACATAAAAAATAAAAGAAATAATAATGGCAATCATGAAGGTTAATATTATTGTTCAGTCATGAGTGAGATGAACAGAAAAAATGGAAGCACAAAACCAAGCAACCTAGGAGAATATATCAGAATCCTGGTCAGACAGAAAAAGTGACAAACAATAATACTGTATTTGATTTCTAATCAATTTTGTAGTACTTTGCAGTAAGTTTTGTATACCATTTAAGATTAAGTAGAGAATGGGACAAATTTGTTTAGTTGCTTGAAACTATGGTGAAGTGAACTGAAAAGTGGTTCTACGTTGAAACTGCAGTTTTCCTGAATTTGTGATGCAATATCCAACTGAAGAATATATTCAGCAATGTATATAATAAGGAAACATGTATAAACCATGTACATTAGGTGAAATATATGTGAACATGTCCATAAATATTCATGTGAATTTACTTTTTTAAAAATTCATTTCTACTTTACCCTTGTTCCTGGGTTAAGACCTTGAGTGTTGGATCAGCATGTCAGAGAAAATTAAACCATGGATTTAGCCTCCAAAGTGATTGTCATAATTCAGACTTGAGTATTTTTCTCAAAAGGCAGAATATATATTACATTTTTAAAAAGCAGTTAGACTCAAGAGCTACCTAAAAAAAAGAAGAAGAAGAATATGGCAACATAATTCTCAGAAGGTAATTTTGGGTGATACGATGAGGAGAAGAGTGCAGGAACACATTAGTATGTGCGGCTTTCGTTGACAGCTTATGATCATACCTGGGGAACAACATTGGTTCATTCTATATACCTGGTATACAGAAAGGTACTGCTTTTTATACACCAGGTACTTGTAAAAAGGAGTCGTTCCAGGAAATGGGTTGATGTAAATTGCTATTTGTTCCCTCCAACCATATTATTTTGGTTTGATTAGTGGCTTAACGGTAATCGTTGGCATTTTCTCCTATTTTCCTCCTAAGATCGCAAGTTTCTTATTGCCAATGCCCAGATGGAGAACTGTGCTATCATTTACTGCAACGATGGCTTCTGTGAGATGTTTGGCTACTCACGGGTAGAAGTTATGCAACGTCCCTGCACCTGCAATTTCCTCACTGGGCCTGACACCACACCCAACTCCATTGCCCAGCTGGGACAAGCATTGCTTGGATCTGAGGAATGTAAGCTGGAGATCCTCTACTACAGGAAAGACAGTAAGCATTCCTAACATTTCTTTTTTGCCTAGTCCCAGGGACTAGCCTTTTTCTTTCTTAGGATCCAAGTTCTTAGACTGTATTGTATGTTCTTATCTGGACTGGACTGTGACAATAAGCAAGTAATACCACTACATAAATACCCAGAGTGCAGAGTGCAGATATCACTGCATTAAGTAAAAATGGCTTGGATACCAGAATGTAAGATTCAACATGTGGGTGGCTACCTTACAGAGGTTCCTAAATTATGTCAAAGGGCAATGCCCTGTGTTCAGGAATAGTGATTTTACTATGCACTTAAGTCTGGTTTTAAGGATTTAAATAGCCTCCGGACCACATACCTCCCACTCCTATTTTTTAAGCTAAGAGAAATCATGTGCAGGCTCATACCAGGAGCTGCACAATATCCTTGCAAACGAATCAGCTGTGTCCATAGTTTTAGATACAGTAGTATATCAGTCTTGACCAATCAACTGACTTGTAGCTTAGTTGCAGACGGTTGTTTTTTTTTTTTTAAGTTCCTGCCTCCTGACCCTAGCAATGAATCTGTTGTCTTGCAACAGCAAGAGAGGACTAGGCTGCAACTGGCCAGTTCCTCCCCCATTATTGCTGAATGGTAGCTTCAACTCCACTCGTTGCTCTAGAATATTTTGCCTTTGAGAGCAACGTGAGTTCCCACAGCTTGGACTTGTCCCTTCCTTGCAACGTAACGGAGAGTAGTATTAGTATGGTGCCCACTGTTCTCTCTACAGGAACCCGGTTATCACCCTCCTTGACAGCAGTCCTGTGGAATCTGGCAAGTGTTAGCAACAGATCTCTTTTCAATGTAGTGTCTGTTTATTATTCCTTTTGCAGTGGTAATCAACTGCAGAATAGAAGTCAAAGCAGGGTTATAATTTCCAGAGGCAATGTGCTGACTTGACTTTACAGTGTTGGCCACGGTTTGACAGCAGAATTCCAAAAGATTTCCGAGGCCTGGAGGTTTACTTACTCAAGTAATAGCCCAGGCTGTTTGCCAGTGGCATAGCTCAGGGGAGAAGAAACTGTGACCCTCCAAAATTATAGTTCCCAGCAGTCCAGCCTGCATAGTTAACAGTAAGGGAAATTGGGAGTTTGTCATCCTGAAAGATACTTTAATGTAACCAAACATATTCTATTCAAAGCAGCAAAAGAGAAGCACAAACCTACATCTTATCAGAACATACTTCTGCAGTCAAGATCTCTCTTGCCCAGACAACATCATTAAAGCAAAGGAAAGTCTACAGTCAGTCATAAATCATAAAAATATAAAGCAGAATTAGATAAAATAAAAATAAATGAATATAAAAGGCTTATCATGAAAAATCACTACAACCCTTCAAAGAATTAAGTTCTAATAGCGAAAACTCACTGTAAACATGATTTATTACACTGATATATTATTAGATTATGTCCCACATTTATTTTGCATAAGTCAAGGCAGCATACATAATGCTCCCACCTCCTATTTTCCCCAGAAAAACAACCCTGGGAGGTACTGTAGGTTGGGATGAGAGACAATGACAGGCCAAAGTCACCCAGATAGCTTTCACACCCAAGGGAGGACTCGAACTCCCCATCTCCTACTCCAGCACCTTAACTGCTATACCAAATTGGTTCTATTATAGCTCTGGCAGCAAGCAATACTTATGGAAAATGCTGGCATATTCAAAAGCAATTGCAAGTAGCGGCTTTCATGTGCCAGAGGACTAAATGTGTCCAGGTGACTTAGAATTAGCTTTATGTCACTGGGGAGAGGGCTGTTCCAGGCAATCAGAGCTAAGGCTGCTGCTAGATTGAAATGAAGTGCTGGAGACCACTTTGAAATGAGTCCAGGCAAGTTAGAATTAGCTTTATGGTATGGATCTGCACAAAACTTCTGAGCTTGCAACCAGGTTGAACTATGCCCCCAAACGTTGCATGATATTCAGACACAACGAATTCACTTTTCAGAATCCCAGGATCCACATTTCCCATCCTGTGTACCCACTGCTTCAGTTTATCATGAAGCAACTTAATTATGTTGCCCTATGGAACATCTTGCCCCCTGAGGTGAGACTGGGCCCCACTCTCCTGGCTTTCTGGAAGAGCATTAAGATCTGGCTCTGCCACCTCATGTGGAGATCTAATGAGGGCTTACAGTACTGGGGGTGGTTGGTGGTCTGAGGGTGCTCCCCCCATCCTTTAACCCTGTATATATTTTTGTAAAGATTTTTTACTGTTTCTATCTCTTTTTTATTTGTAAGCCACCTAGAGTCACTTTTACAGTGAGATGGGTAGTGTATAAATGTGGATGATGATGATGATGATGATGATGATGATGATGATGATGATGATGATGATGTTTTCTTCTGAGACGAGATTTTTGCAGAGAGAAAGGTAGTATCCCACCCTAATGAAGTTCTGAAAGTCTTTCAAAATGTGGCTGGGGTCCAAGCCTTGGGGTAGGGTGACTGCTAAGCCTCTGCAAGTTGTTTTTGGCTCTCATGTTCTTTTCTGGATGTCTGTGATCTGTTCGTTACAATTGTTTAAGTGTAAGTTGCCCAGAGTTGTTTGGAGTTGGGTGGCCTCTACATAAATAAATGAAATGAACAAATAAATAAATAGTTAATACTGAGGAGAAGAACCTGGGATAATCCAATCATGGAAATAAAAATCAGATATTCAGAGGAGGCAGCTGCACCATAAAAAAATAAATAATTTGTTTCAGGGAGACAGTGACAATCAAAGACATTCTGAAGCATCACTCCCTCCCGCCCTCCCTCCCTCCCTCCCTTCCTTCCTCCTCCTCCTCCTTCCCCCCTCCCCCTTCCCCCTTGGATTTGCACATGAATATAAATGTGCTCTTTCTAGGCTTTTAAGAAAGCCTTTCCAACTTGTTTTCCTTTGATATACATTCTGCTACTGGCTATGGAAGATAATTAAGATCAGTAATTCAAGAATCCCTCTTTTCATCTCCTTTCCTGTCCTTCCCTTTCTCTTTTTCTCTGCTATCTCAGAGAAGGCATTCATGTCTATTTTTAAAACCTTTCCCTATTAGCAGGGTGAACACAATTGTCTCTACTTGATCCTCAGCCTGTGATCATCTATCCCAGTAATATAAACCAGTATTATTGGCAAGGGAAAGGTCCTGTGTTATTGGCAGCCAAGGTTTAATTAGATGAGACGGCAGATCCTCAGTCTATTCAGTCTGCTTCTCATAGTGTTGGTAGCTCTTGCCAGACCCTGTCTACAGTTTATTGTTTTGTGGCTTGCTTTTGCAGCTCACCAGGGACAAACAGTTAGGGGCATCTGTTCGGAAACAGTGGCTAGTTCAATCTGGTCTAATGAGAAAGAACAAGCCATGCACTGATTGCCAACATATTTCAGAAGAGATAAAAGCACTGAGGAGGAGGTGTTCAGAAGTTCCTAAATAGGCTGCCCAGATGCAAAGGTTATCTCCCTACATATGTGAGCCTACAGCAGCATTGTATATCTAAGGCAGCGAATCTTTGCCAAAATAATCCTCTATTTTGAATCAATTGAGTAGATTAAGCATATTCTAATATATTATGGATAGCTGACCATACTGCTTCTATTAAGAGAAGGAGAAGGAAAATACAGGGCAATATAGTCTCCATCTTGCCTCTTGGATATCTAATTCAATCCACTTTCTAGCATCTGAACATTCACTAGTCATTGCCCATATGTTTTTACCAGGACTGAGCAGGCTGAAACCCATTAATATTATTAGCAATATTAATGGATCTATGTGTACCTATTTAAGAAGTTTTATCTCAATAATATCCATATTTTGAACTTGAAATAAATGAGGCAAACGTTCCCTCTTGCACAGTTTATTTTAATTGCCATACTTAGTTTTCTCCAACATTTAATATCTCCTGAAGCTGGGATGTTAAGAAGAAGAACATTGGTGAGACCATTGCCCACCCAAACATTTATTAGAATCAGGAATAACCAGATTAGAACAGGGCATGTTAGATTCAAAATTTGATGGAGAATTTAAGTTATACAACAAGCACTTATTCCAGATGCTGTCATCTTCCCTTCTGTTTTATTTATTTATTATTCAAATTTATATATGCTGCCCATCTCACTGTACAAGTGACTCTAGGAGTTTGGCTCTGGGGAACCATTATGCAGACAGTAGGTAGTAAGAGCCACCTCCTTTTCCTCTCCATGTGAAAGGCTGCCAAAAGAGGAACAAGTTACTTAGAAATTTGGACTATTTACCCAGATCTTTCAAATGTATTTATTTAAAACATTTATGTTCCACCTTTCATTTTGGATGGGAGAAAAAAAATAAAATAAAAATATTTTAAGATATTGTAGAGTTCTTGGTGCTCTCTGAGCTTGGTCGTTTGCTTGCAGACATTTCATTACCCATTATTTTCACTGATGATGTTACGTAGCTGGGTAAAGAAATGTCTGCAAGCAAATGACCAAGGTACCAAGAACTCCACAGTTCAACCCTGAACTACATATATTCTCCTCTATTGGATCTTATACATTAGCTGTTAATGTTTCATCATTTTTATAATGGCTTTCTGTGGTTAAAATTTGGCTACTGGGGGAAGATGTTACCATTGCCTCTGAAGAAAATAGTCTGCTGTTCTTCCCCATAGAACAGCTGGTCCCAACAAGCTCTGTGAGGAGGGAGAAAGGACTGCATAGAGTAGATCACAGTAACGATTACGGCAGATGATCTATCTTCATTGTCTGCAACCAGTCCTCTTGGCCTCCATAATGGTCACGGATATTTGTGAATAGAGTGGTAGTATGTACTGAGAGTTATAGAGGTCTCCTATTCTGTTTGATTGAGAATGTCCAAGCAACAGGGTTTTAGGCAGCTTTGGAGGTTCCAAGGAGTATTAAACACAATGAAAAGGCTGAAATGCCAAAGAAAGTCAGTCATGTATGAGGAATATCCGTTCTGGTAGAAGAATTATAGCTAGGAAACTAACCTTTGTGAGTATGAGAAA